CAGGGGGTGCTGCCCTGCCATCTCCCTCAGCCTTAACCAGCCTGAGGTCGTGGGCGTGTGCCCAGCACACTCAGAGAGGTCTCTGGACACAAACCCAGAACCTTCTCCTGTGGGTCAGGCTGGCAGGGTATTGCAGAGCGTTTTATTACCGTGCAACTTTGAATCCTACTACTGTTTATCCGACCACTGCTCAGTGCACCAGACAGGCCTTTGTCAGGTTTGGTCCTTGAGGCGTCCTGCAGAAGGAGCCCGCGGTCTCCCATGATTTATTTTCAGAGGGTTCAACTGTCAGTTGTAGTTTATGAGGGCCCTGGTGACTGGTTTTAAGAATATTGTTTAACCTCATAAAAAGAGCAGGTGCTTTTAAAAGATTCCTGTAGGAAAACTCCAGATGCTTAACCCAAGGCCAAGGAAAGGACTAGAAAATGGCCTCCCGACAAAGCCGCGGCAGGCCGAGGGGGCGTGGAGGTTCCTCTCCGTGGCTTACTCCTTGTTGGTATTCAGTTTTGTTTTCTTTTTTAGAAAATTGACATACAGTTGAAATGTGTAAAATTTGCCTTTTAAAAGTGTACAATTCGGTACTTTTTAGAGTATTTACAGTGTGGTGCACCCTTCGTCAGTATTGTTTCCACCATCCAGGGAAGAAACCCCGCATTTCTTAGCCCCAGAGCCTCTACTTCCCCACCCTGGCAGCCATTAAGCTACTTTGCTTTGCTTTTGCTGTTTTTAGGTTTTCGTTGTAGGGCTCGTGTGCTCACCGGGGAGAGACAGAGAGGGAGAGATCATCCCCTGGGGGCCGGCCGCCCCACAAGCCCTTCATTTTCCTCTCGGGATTCTGGGCACGCAGGCATACATTCCTGGTGTGATTTTCAAGCCGCTCGGTCTGGGACTCAAACTGCAGGGTCAACCACGTGGGATCCAGCCACTTTAGCCACCACACCACTTGCTGGGCCATCAGTCTTGCTGTGTGTGGGTTCGCCCACTCTTACGTCTCCTGTACTGTAAATGCAAGCAGTACTACGTGGCCTTCCGTGTCTGGCCCTTGTGCTTCGGCGAAACGTTTTCAAGGCTCTCCCAGGGCGTCGCCTGTGTTAGGGCTTCATTCTCATGGCTGAATAAAAGGTGATGACTCGAAATGTAAATGTATTGATAAACACGAATTCCCATTGCGTCTTACCCTGAATACAGACTTTCTGAGATATCAGCTAGTTTTGTGAAAAACACTTTTTCATATCATTTAGATTTTTATTTTTTGTTATTTGTAGTGAAAAACAGTACAATATTTATACAAGTTACATATGCACATGTAGAGGGTGCTCAAAAATATTTTCCCAGTGTGTCATATGTGATCATAGTATTTTGAAACAGCTGGTCTATATCACCTGGAATTTGTAGTATTAATTTTTTTTTTTTTTTGAGAGGTTTTTGCTATAGGGCGCGTGCGCTCGCCAGACAGACAGAGAGAGACATAGAGACAGAAAGTGAGAAATTATCCCCCGGGGGGATGGTCACGCCGCAATCCCTTCTCCATTCTCCTCTTGGGATCTTGGGCACGCACGCACACACGCCCGGTGTGAGTTTTAAGCTACCGGGTCTGGGACGCGAACCGCGGTCAACTATGTGGGAGTCCAGCGACATAGCCATTATGCTAACTGCTGGTTCCCAGGAATTTGTAGTATTCTAATTTATTTTACTCCTCCCTGCTAGTGGAAATATCTTTAACTCTTTTTATTTTTTACTAATTCTTTTTACTTTTTACTTATTTATTTTTAAATAATTGTTTATTTAATTTTATCTATTATTTCTTTTATTCTTCAGGGGTTTTTGCTTTAGGACATATGTTCTCACTGGAAAGAAAGAGAGAGAGAGAGAGAGAGAGGGAAAGTGAGAAAGCAAGCTGCTAGATCCGGGACTTGAACCGCGTCCGGCACCTTAACCACCCCATACTATCTGCTGGCCCCTCTTTAACATCTGCACCTGAGCAAAAACTGAATTGCTATGGAAAATGGGAGCCAGCTGGCACCGTGCCCCAAAGACAGCAACGCCCAGTGCTGTCGAGTGTTCTCGTAGACTGTTTCGTATATGTAAATTCATATATTTTTTTCTTTTGAGAGGTTTTTGCTATAGGGCGCGTGCGCTTGCCAGACAGACAGAGAGACATAGAGACAGAAAGCGAGAAATCACCCCCCAGGGGGAATGGTCACGCCGCAATCCCTTCTCCTCCATTCTCCTCTTGGGATCTTGGGCACGCACGCACACGTGCCCAGTGTGAGTTCTAAGCCACCGGGTCCGGGATGCGAACTGCGGTCGACTACGTGGGAATCCAGCGACATAGCCATTGCGCTAACTGCTGGTTCCCTGTAAATTCATATTTTTAACAACAATAATTATTCTGTACAATGTGAACCATCATTTTTTACTTAGTATTGTATCTCTGTTATTGTATTAGGATTTGTTGTTAGAATTGGAACTTATTGCAGGCTGGCCCTGTAGCCCTTAGTTAAGGGAGCTAGATTCCACATGGCCTTCCGCATTACGAATCCTGGCCCCAGCAGCTTGGAAAACCTGCCAGACCTTTATGCATGTGTGCCACAAATCCCTACAGGATGGGGAGTTGAAGAAGACGATGGAAGGTGCTTTATTCTTTATCTCTGTCTCTCTGTCTCTTTCTAGTTGAGTACATATGCCCTCCGGTAGTTAAAGAAAAAAAAAGGAAAGGGAAAATAACTGGAATTCTTTTTAAAGATGAGTATGTGAATTTGGGGTTTATTTTCCTGCAAAAGCATGTATGTGCATGCGTCTTGGAGTTCGTTAGTATATGTCAGGTAGCATTCTTTTTTTTAAAAAAAGTAATTATTTTACTTAACTTTTTATTTATTTTAATTTGATCAGGGAGGGACAGAGTGAGGAGAGAGAGAGAAAGTGAGAAAGCAAGCCACCAGGTCCGGGACTCAAACTGTGGTCAGCCATGTGGGAGTCCAGTGCCCTTAACTACCATGCCATCTGCTTGCCGGCCAGGTAGCATTCTTGCATTGCGCATGTGTAAGAAACATGAGAAAGTTCAGCTTTGTTTCCTCGAGGAAGAATGTTACCCATGTGGTTTACTTTAGAACACAGAACCTACTTCATTTTTCACTCATTAAAAAATAATCTGTTACTTGGGGCCGGTGGGTAGCATAGTGGTTAAGGTGCTGGATTCCCACATGGCTGACCATGGTTCGAATCCTGGATCCTGTGACTTGAAACTTAACACTAGCCACATGTGTGTGCACACCCAAAATCCCAGTAAGAGAATGGAGGAGAAGGGGTTGTGGCATGGCCATCCCCCCTGGGGGGTGATTTCTCACTTTCCCTGTCTTTGTCTGTATCTCTCTCTGACAAGCATATATGCCCTGTAGCAAAAATGTCTCTCTAAAGAAAAAAAAAATCAAATCTGTTACTTCTTTATGATATATATATTTTAAAAGAACTATTTATATGTTTAATTCCATTTGTTATTCTATTATTACTTTTAATTTGACCAGAGAGAGACAGAGAGAGAGAAAAAGGGAAAGTGAGAAAGCAAGCCACTGGGTCTGGGTCTTGAACCGTGGTTGGTTGTGTGGGGATCCAGTGCCTTTAACAACCACACCACCTGCTGGCCCCAGTGATAGATTTTCTTACTGCAGAAGAAATAAACAATATAGATAAACACCGAGGTAAAACATTGACATCGCCTGTATTCACATCACCCAACCGTGATCAGTAGCAGCGCTCGTGCCAGGCCCAGCCATTTGGTCTGCATTGTGTGTGGGACAGATGTGTGCTGTATTGTGTGTGTCTGTGTTCTCTTTTTAACAAGTCCACAGGAGGCATTCCCCCCACCCCCTTAATTTGCCAGAAGGCATGTGAGCTCACCTGAGAAAGATGGAGTGGGAAAGTGGGAAAGCAGCCATCACGGGGAGTGGTCCACTGCCAGCCCTCCCCTTCTTCCATTTCTCCCTCTTTTCGGGATTCTGGGCGTGTGCACACACCCACTGTTTCCCAAGCCACAGGGTCTGGCTTTCAAACCGCGCAGTCGGTAGTGCACGATGCAGTCGCCTTAGCCGTCACCCCACTGGCTGACCTGGCATCATAGTCTTAACATTTTTTTGCCAGAGGGTGTGTGTGTTCACCAGAGAGAGATGGGGGCGGGAGGTGGTGGTAGGAAGCACCCCTCGGGGGTGTGGTCACGCTGTAGTACTTCTCTATCCTGGGAGATCCTGGCCTGTGTGTACACACGCCTGGTGTGCTTTTCAAGCTTCAGGGGCCGGGATTCCACCTGCAGCTGGCCACGGGTCCAGCTCCCAATGCACAGTGCATAACAAGTGTGCGACAGTCTGGTGTTTGGTTTATTTTTCAAGTTTCCATAGGAGACAGACGTCCCCAGTCACACCCTCACACTGCGATCCACCCTGGTCTCAGCCATCACTGGCATGCACACCCACCCAGGGTGCTCAGCGAGGTCTCAGGTCACGGTGGTGCAGGCATGTTACCGTGGTTCCAACTGAAAATAACTGACGTCACCACCAAATGAGGGTCAGAGTCACGCAGGGTGAGAACCCCTGTGGCACACGGATAAGTTGAAATGCGCTGGCTTCGTCCTGCTCGGCGAGGCCCGCTGTTACCAGGCCTGCTCCATCCTTGAGCCTGTGCTCGGTCAGTTCATTCAGAAGTAGCAGCTCTGAGCCCGACCCTGATGGTGACTCTAGGGTGAGTTGTCAGGCTTGAGCTTTTTTTTAAAAAAAGAATTACTATTATTATTATTTTTTGGGGGGGAGAGGTTTTTGCTATGGGCGCATTCGCTCGCCAGACAGAGAGAGACAGAGAGACAGAAAGCGAGAAATCACCCCCCAGGGGGGATGGCTACACCGCTATCCCTTCTCCTCCATTCTCCTCTCAGGATCTTGGGCGCACATGCACACGCGCCTGGCGTGAGTTTAAGCCACTGGGTCCGGGACGCAAACCACGGTCAACTACATGGGAGTCCAGTGACATAGCCATTATGCTAACTGCTGGTCCCTAAAAGAATTATTTTAATTTTGTTTATTCATTCATTTATTTTAATTTGACCAGAGAGAGACACAGAGAAAGAAAGAGAGAGAGAAAGTAAGAAAGTAAGCCACCAGGTCTGGGACTTGAACCACAGTCAGCCATGTAGGAGTGTCCAGCACCTTAACCACCCAAGCCACCTGCTGGTCCCCAGCCTTGAGCTTTTTGGTGCAAGGTTGAGATGGGACTGTTGTAACAGAAATTCTTTTTCTTTAATAGGATATTTCTACCATTTCTACCCCATTCAGAATATCCATTATTATGAATGTTCGTGTATGGTAAAGTTTTAATGACATTTAGAAAGAAAATTAATATTCATGATGACTCAACTTTCAAAAATTAATTTATTATTTACATTTAATCACTATGCACCACATTTAATTTTTTATTAATTTATTATTTACATTTAATCACTGCATCTTTTCAGTGTGCAACATGGCTTCTCTCAGCACAAATGCAGTGCGTATCAGTCAAGACGAAGACACTAGCACACACGTTATCATCATGGAGTTTTTGTTCTAATCTTGCCTGTATACAGTCCAGTGTTCTGCTCAGGAAGTAGCCCTGCTGAGGCTCAGTAATGAGAAACGGAAGAATGTTTGTCACCGAGTCTCTGCCATGCTGCAGAACGACTCTGCGGGTCACACGACGAGGTGCCCACCAGACCCGAGTCAGGGACCGTTGGGCCTGGAGATCTCAGTTCCTGTCCCGACATCGACGTGGCCTTGGTGTGGAATCAGTTCTGACCTCACAAGCTGCTGTTCTGTGCCCCCTCCTTCCATAAGGGACCAGGCTCCCCCCGGGCAGGAGGAGTTATCACCGGCCTTTGTGGGCACCACATCTGTTTTTGTTTTCCCCTGGTATTTTTTAAGTAAGGAGAAATGTGTGTGGGTTAAAGGGCCTATGGGGAGGAGGCTGGAGATAAACACCGTCCAGTGTGAAACTCTTCCATATGGGGAATGCGCGGGGGTTTGAGCCCGGGCCTATGCCTGGGCGGCGTCAGGTCTTAGTGACGTGGGCACTGTGCAGTGCGTGTGGGGGCCTGTGCTTGGCAACCGGAAGAGACAGTTTGAACACCACTGGCTATTCCTGCTCCTCCCTGAATCGCCTTAGCAGAAAGAGGGACACGTGCTAATTTTAGAAATAGACATGCGTGGGCATCAGCCCTGTCTTCTCCGATGTCTTCAGGGCTGTCACCCCCATCTTCTGATTTGCTGTCATATAGTCTCCTGGTCTGAAAGTGAGGTCTTTGTGAAAATACGTCCGTGGTTCTTTTTCTTTTTTCTTTTTTTTGACTCAAAAAACTAACCAAACAAAACCCAAAACCGAACACCTCTGGGATACACCTGGAAATTGGCCCCCAAGGATGTGTGCCACCCACATCTGAAATGCCAGTGGGCGTGCGTGGCTTCTGCAGATGTGAGTCACATGGCTCTCTCCAACCCCGAAGTTTGGGAGGGTGCCCTTCGCTTGGCACTCACCCAGACCTTCTGGGGAAAGCTTACCAACCACAGCAGTGACGTCGTCCGAGGCCTTGTGAATGTTAAGTAATGATTTGGTCCAGGTGTCGTGGGATGTAGGCCAAAATGAAGACACGTGTCCGTGGCTAGAACATAAATTACAAAATGTAAAAATTTTAAAAAAAGGTTCTTGATTTAATCTCTCCAGTAGAGAGGCTTTCTGTAAATCTTCAGTCCTCTTTATAATTTCAGAGTTAAACTCTTTCTAATCAAAAGCACTTGGCAAATAATGGCTCATTTAAGCTGGAGTTCTGATTCATTACTCCAATTATTGTCACCGTGCAGTGCCCTTTGGCCTGGAAGTGCAGCTCGTGTGCTTGCGACGCCAGAGGTTAACAGAGCAGGAAGCCAGAGCGCTGCGTGTCCCCGCGGTGACCAGAACAATTTAGTAATTGTCTAATTACCTGAGGAGCCTAATCCACTACTAAAAATAGTATTAAAAAATGAAATGAAAGGCGTTTTCTTGTTGCCTGTAATCCATCTGTTCTCCATTTAAGGCAACCATGTGTCATGGATATAAAACATAATTCATTCTAAAGGGTCAGATCTCTTCCTTTCTGTTGGATAAATATGTTTTTCATAGAATGTAGAATCCAGTAACTCCATCAACATTCCTTGCTTCCGGGATCCTGTTAGTGATAGAGGCAGTGAGGCTGTAACCCGCAATCCTTTGTCCAAAACTGTGATTTAATCGGAAACTGGGGACCAGCCGATGGTATGATGGCTACATCACTGGACTCCCACGTAGTCGACTGCAGTTTGAGTCCTGGAACCAACGGCTTAAAACTTACACTAGGTGCATGTGTGTGCATGCCCAAAATCCCAAGGGAAGGATGGAGGAGAAGGGATTGTGGTGTGGCCATCCACACTGGGGGGTGATTTTTCACTTTCCCGCTCTGTCTTTCTGTCCTCCCTTGGGAGCATAGGTACTCTATGGCAAAAACCTTAGAATAAAATAAAATAGGAAACCGATGTTGGCCAATTAGATATTTACTTCATTTTGGAAATGGAACAGAAAGATCATGATGACTGAAGATTCCCACTATGACCTCAGGGATGTCGAGTGGTTTGTTCACACATTGAGCAGGTTGTGGTCGCATGCCAGGCCCAGCCTGGGTCCTAGGAATGCAGTGGTGAGTAGCTCAGGTGAGCTCCGGGCAGGCTCTCTGTCCCCGGTCTCGTGGGAGAGTCGTCGGGCAAACAAGCCGACTTTCGACAGTGAAGTCAGTGGCTCTCAGGCTGCTGAGGAAGCATGACGTGCTGTAGGGCAGGCCAGTGAAGCAGTGGCAGTTAGGGGGCACTGGGACTGCCTTGCCAAGGAGGTGACAGCTGAATTGAGGCCTGGATGATGAGACTAAGGAAGCCAGCTCTGTAGAGACCTGGGGGTGGGGTCCCTGGCAGAAGACATGGCAAGTGCAAAGGCCCTGAGGCAGGAAGGAACTTGGCAGGGTTCCAAGGAAGGTTCTGTCCTCCCCCACCCTCCCCCCCCCCCCCCCCCCGGGGAATTGGTTGAAGAGCTGTGTCAGGCG